TCAGTAACTCCCCCCCCTCCCCAAAGGGTGGCGTTGAAAAATTTTCCGCTCCTTAGGGGGGCAACAGCTTCAAAAAGGTTGAGAATCACTGGTATAAGACACAGTAAATGAAACATCAAAAGGCAGCAGTACTAACACTTCAGCGAAAACATCAGCAAAAGAAACAGGAAAGTAATTAAACACTACCATGACTTTTAATGTCAAAAATGAAAAAAACTAAATAGAGATAGAGAGACAGAGAGCACTGGATGACTCTTCATTGGTGGGATGTTCAATTTCAAACTTAAACTCAGCAGCAGAAGAAAAAACTCTGCATGCTATCTTTTTTTACTTTCAATACGGCAAAAGAGTGCATATAATTAATTCCTTGGTTGGGAAAAAGAATTGGTATGTGAAGAAATCCCGTACATGCAGGCATAATAAAAAAAAACTCAGGTTCACTCCCCAAATGGTGGATTCAGAAGCCAATTTAAGCCATCTTTCATTTGGATTGGTGTTGGAATCCCTCGTACCAAACTGGTTCATAATCTTGGAGCAGGTGGCAGCTATTGCTAGAAGGGCCCTTTGACAACTCCGTTTTATATGCCAGTTATGACTATTCCTGGATTAGAAGGCCCATCGCCTGTCAATCACGGCTTGGTCATCTCTCAGTGTGAGTTCTGAAATCCACTCTACATGACGCTTCCCATGAAGACTATCCAGAAGATATAACTGGCCCAGAACGTAGTTATATAATTAGTTACAGGTACCTAGTTTTGCCCGCATGACACTACTATAGTGAAAGTTGCACTGCTTAACTGTGGATTTCTGGGTGCCATTCAAGGTGCTGGCTGAAACCTTTAAAGCCCAGCATGGCCCAGGACCTGTGTTTTCTGCCCATCCAATAAGATATGGAAGGGAGGACTATCTTCAGATACCTACTCTGAGGGAGTGTCATTATTAGAGCCCATGAGAGTGTCCCTTCTATGAAGAAAGAGGACTGCCTGGTGTGTGCTCCTAAACGTTTAAGAGCCAGTTCTGTCAGCTCCATTGCCATAGCTGTGCCATGCTGCTAACTGCAGAACAGCTGATTAGTCCACTAGGTGATGAGGCTCACCTCTGCTGTCAACCAGCTTGCAAAATTCTAGAAAATTTAACAATTGGTTCTCACGAGCTGGTGCAAGCCAGTGCCAGCACACCCCTGGTTGCTTCCTTTCTTTGGAATAGCATTCCTCCTAAGATTAGACAGTCACCAATCGTTGGGGTTTAGAAAAATCAGTAAGATCTGCCGGAAGACATTCCAGAAGGCCTCTGGCAACTGACTGAATTCCCTCCTACAATAAAGTTATGGCTTATATGGAATTAGGATTGCAGCTCCTTGGCATGGTAGGATGGGAGGGAATTACTGTTTTGTTTTGTTCTATTATTTTAGCTTATTTCTAAAATAAGAAATCTTATTCCTTAGTTCTATTATTTTAATTTATTTTATTTTTATTTTTGCTGTAAATTGAGAATGTAAGTCGCTTAAAGTGATTGAAAGTGATTTTTGGTGTTTTGCTTTGGTTTGTCTTTGGTGCCTTCAAGTAATTGTTGATGCCTGACTGCCTGGATGAGTCCCTGCATTTTTCTTGGCAAGATTTTGGAAGTGGTTTGCCATTTCCTTCTTCCTTGGGCCAAGAGAGAGTGACTGGCCCAAGGTCACCAGCTGGCTTTCTACATAAGGCAGGACTAGAACTCATGGTTTCCCAGTTTCTAGCCTGATGCTTTAACCACTACACCAAACTGGCTCTTGAAATGGTATGTAAGCCTAGATAAATAAAATAATAAAATAAAACATTTTTTATCTTCTGTATGTGAATGCAGGGGGCATGTCATTTATGGACTTCCACCACATCACTTAGTTTTCCTTACCTTCTGATAGCTCCTGATATAAAACTAGGACTATTATTTTGTGTTTGAGCGTTGACCATAATCAATAATTGTCCTTACTGTGTCAGATAGATTAAAATTAAAAGCCTGTTGCTAGCTAACATTAGTTCCATAGATCTGAGCTTGTTATATTTTTCTTTTGCTGAAAGCCTGCTTCAAGAGAAGAAATAGAAGAAAAAGAATTGTTTGCTTCCACAGTGCAGTTTTACAGATAGCCTTTCAAAAGTGAATAAATGAAATATATTCCCAAATAAGTGTGTATAAGACTACAACCTGAGAAATATGTGGAAACTGATTAGTCAAATATAGTTTTTCATGAAGTTTTCTTACTATACTTCATTATTTTTTTTTAAGTTAATTAAGATCTTGTACCCAAAGCAAGTGACAGTGATTCACTATTGCATTTTTGGAAACCAACAGCTTTAGAACATTTTCAACAAGATTTGCAAGATGTGAGATATGCAGCTCCAAATAATTAGAGGAAATAAGTTATATAATTGCCTTAGAATCATGCTAAAAAAGAAGCATGGACTTTTTAAAAAACAATAATAATTTGCAAATTATCCATTTTGCAGTTTTTTGTAAGACAATTTTTTAGATCATAAAAAAAATTACAATAGGCCACAGCGATGTTTTTTATAGAAATGAATGCTGCGGACATTCACTCTAGCAACATTCACTCTATAAACAAGCGAGAAAATTCATAGAATTATATAGAATCCAAACTGATTCCTACTCATTTGTCCACTAGGACCACCAATATAATCAGTATACCTCACAGAGTTGAAGGGAAGCAATAAATCATTAAATCCAACCCCATGCTCAAGAAAATTAAAGCATCCTCAATGGGCTCCTCTCTGGCCTGTACATGAACACATTCAGCATAAAGGAGCTTACCTCTCCCCTGGTAATTGTCCATTGTCAAACTGTTCTGTTACACATTTTTGCTTAACGTTCAAACAGAACCTATCTTCCCATAACTACAATCCATTATTCCCTGTCCTGCATGCTGGATTGATAGAGAATAGATCCTGGCCTTCTTTATGACAATCCTTCAAATACTTAAAAGACTGCTATGATATTCCCTATCAGTGGGAACTTAATTGCATTCTGGTCCATAATCATAACAATGGAAATAGTTCCTTGATTCATCTTTTTTCCCCCTTTTTTGCTCAATTTTGGATATTAAGACTACTATCTTCCAAATCTATTTTTATAATAGACATATTTTATTTATTATTTTTAAACATAAATGCCATAACAATAAAGAATGTTAACACCATGAATGACTGCAATTCTGCATCCTTTTATTGGTTTGTCAGGAAAAAAATGATAAATAATGAGTGCTTGCAATCAGATGTCTCCTAGAAGTCCAATTACCCCATCATTCCAGCTTTAGTAGATTATTTTCTAATAAAGAAAAAGATGGAAGAAGCAATGGAAAAGACATAAGGGTTACAGATGAAGGTGACTTCATCTGGACCCACTATGCAATTCTGTGAAAGACTTGTTCCTTGAACATTCTTTCCTGCCTTATTACTGTTGGAGAGTTCTGACAAATGTTGTTAGAGAGTTCCACATAGTGATACTACGGCAGTTTACCAATATCCATTTCTCCTATAGGTTTCTCCATGATTTAATATATTAATAACTGCATCACATTCATAACTATATGTAATTGAAAAATATATAAAACATATTAACAGAAATCAGCAGACCTTTTCCTAGCACAATCCTCCATGCCCCCTAAATCTAGTAGGAAAAGGACAAGAAAACAAGGGCCTCCCCCTGCTTGGGCTGCATTCCAGCTACACTTGGATAATGTTGCCCTCTACTACGGATTTAGTTCTCCAGCAATTTCTTTAAAGGTCTGCTTAAGTCATAATAAAATGTACCTAGGTTCTGAAGAATTAAATACTAGTTCAACTGGAAGTGAAATAAATTACATCAGCAATAGATGATCCTATAGCAAGAGGAAAGTGCCATTTCAATCTTTCAATCTTCAATTTAAAATGCTTAATTATAAGAAGTTAAAATCGTAAGGAACCAAAAAGTCATAAACAAAGAAAGTAATTAACATTCATTAATAATAATCAGTGGAGATAGCAAAATATGTACAAAATATCACTGAGCCAGTCATAAAGTACACTTTAAAAATGGCAACTTACCTTTCACAAGCTCTGACAGTCCATGCAGCAATTATCCATAAGGAGATACTAAAAACCAAGAGTACAGTTCCTGGGCATATTGTCATTAAGGTTTTCATAACAAAACGTGTATTGAAGTTGATCTTATTTAGTGCTCCAATGCTTCTGGATGAGGCATCAGTAAAAAGTTTGCTATGCAAAAGCATAACTCTGGCAATAAGATATAGTCTCAAGAACATTGGTATGGATAAAATTATATCCACATCAGCTATTGTTGTAGATGGGGTATAGGAGAAGGCAAGCCGGGCTGTCCATGTAAAGGTGTAGTTGCCAGGGATAGGATGTATAGCACATACCAAAATTTCCAAGCAGATGAAAAAAATGCGCTCATAAGTCATGGCTATTCTCCAATCATCTGCTCCATTGTCCACCATAAATAACTGGAAAAGAAATGCAGAAGTTCAGCATTAGAGAAATATTAGCAGAACTTAAACAAAAATGAAAACAGTATATTCTGAATAATACCTACTCTCTCAAGGATAACCCAAGGCAGCCTATCTCTGTCATTTCAATGTGATGCAACTTTTACAAATGATGTAAAGTAGGAATGTTTTGTGCATGTATACTCCTATAATCCAGAAAGATCGATGGATTAGAAAAATCTTCGTTGGAATATGACCCAGGTTAACACTATTTGTATTTAGCTGATTTGTTGCTGTTGGGCCTGTCACCAATATGTATGTTGGTGGCAGTCCCTGCTATAACAAATAATCCTGCCTTCTTGTTCTTTTTTTAATCAGTGGTGATAATTTAAACACCCAGAGCAATCCATGATTATTAAAAGTCTAATCTGTTGGGGGGGGTTTTACGAATTCGTTAGGATAAATAAATTGAAACAAAAAAAATTAAACCATTTTTAAAAGCAACTTTTCTATCTCTCTTTTTCTGCAAATGAGAATAGGAATTATAGGTACATATTTATGCTTACCTAGAAATAATTATTCCCATTAATTCATTAGGGCTCTCAGGTAAGCATATAATGGAATCCAGGCTATATTTTTAAATGCAATATGTGACTATGCTTGACATTCTTAAAGATTTTAAATACTTACTTCAAAAATGTCAAGCTTTGCTCCGTAATTGATTCACATGGAGAAAACAATCAATCTGTTATTGTAATACAATGTGCAGCCTATTTTGATAAATACAAAAATGTTTAAAAATGAAAACAACTCATCAGCTTTATTCTGAGTAACCAATTCACATCCCAGATATCTTCCCAATAAAGTCAGGTGCATTTCATGGACAATCCACCAAATTCAATGGAAATAGCCTTATCAATATACTACAATACTTATATTTTCTTATGAAATTTTAATTAAATACACTTAGTCTTTTATCTTCCTACCTTTATAGCCTCAAAGCCTGCTAGCTATAGTATCTGGCGCTTTCAGTTTCTACTACCTTTACAAAAGCTGAAGTATTTAGTATGAATCTATTTCATTCGACAAACATCTACAGTATGTACAATTATTGAGTGAGGTTATCAGCCCTAGAACTGAACATTTAAATCAAGTTAAATTAAGATTCCACAGAAACTAATTTCAACCCAAACCATTTAACAAATCTATCCTGTATTTAAACTGGAGCAGGTGAGATCCCTAGTGGCAAAAGTAACACACTTACTATTCTGCCATTTTGTTACAATTGAAAGCAAGTCATTACAGCAGTGCCTGTTCTGAAGTATTCATCATTCATGCATCCTGCTGAGCCATGGTTTCATTTATGGAATCATATCGCCCGGGACTACAGAACACGTGAAATCAAAATCAGCCCAACTACATTAAGGTTTGGCATAATGTATGGATTAATCCATTATCCTTACGAGAAGGTCATGGACTGAACTCAAACAGGCCTATTATTTTTGCCCTAAATATCTAATCCTAATCTTTGGGAGAAAGATTATCCAACACTGTATGATAAACTACTTATTTCTTACCATAATTTTAAATCAAGGGTTCTTTTTAATACAACACAACATTGTTATAACTATGCACCATTGTAGTTAACTGTAATATGCAAGATGAATATATTTTTATTGCTATACATACTGTCTTGATTTAACAAGCATGGAGGCCAAGTATAGTTTCCCAAAACAATTATATAGTCTTATTCTTCCCAAAAGGTAGCCATAATATAGATAATAACGTATATAGTATACCTAAAGAGGTTCCACACAAATCTGTGGCACAATTCTGAATGTTCATAGTCAAGATAAAATATATAATTGCTTGACTTTTTGGTTCTATCTGTTCAAATTAGAATACTAATCTGACTTATGCATCTAGGTATATAAACAAAAATAATCTGTTACTTCATTCTTATTTTTAGAGCATAGTGGAGTATAGCCTCTTTTCATAATCTAAATTCATATAAATTTCATTTTCAATACCCAAAAGAGTTAACAAACAATATTCATATATGTATAACTTAAAAATGATAAAACATCCTATCACCACAAACAAAAAAAGAGAAAATAAAAAGGGAACTTACTAAAACCAGAAAACTTTAAGACAATAAAATAATCTATACTGTCAGATCACAACTAACTCCAGATGAGGAAAATTTCAGATATTAAGAGTATTTCCATTTATGCTTTTAGAGGGAATCATAAAATAAGTCACTTTCTGCATTATATTTTACTGGGTCCAGTTTTGCTACAATGAATATATGAAATTATGTATTTACTGAAATCAAGGGCAAGAATGTGTTAGAGCTTTTTCATCATGATTTATATTGTAGCCCTATGGTTCTCACCAGAGCAGATATCTGGGGTATAAATCAAATCAATCAGTCAATACCAATACACATTTTTTAAAAAATTCTTCATCTATCATAGTATGTCACGGACCTTTTCCCAAAGTTCCTAAAGTGTAAACACACACACGCACACACAAAGAGAGAGAACATTATAAGATGTGCAGGTTGACTACAATGAATTGACAGAGAAAGACCAAAGAAAGAGAACAGGAAAACTGGACAATAGAGCTGAATAACTAAAGATCCATTGTCAGCATGAAACACTAGAAAAGTTGGGTTTGCCTCCCAAAAGTTAATAGCAAATTGTATTGTCATGGAAGAATGGAAATGATTAAATACAGTAGGTAACTATATTATATCTTAAGACCATATGCTATTTGCTATTCATTAAAGCAGGCCATCTTTTTTTCTGGCTTCTGTGTGAGCCTAAATAAAGCTGTGGCTGCTTTAAGAGGCACATTAACTTAAATGAATCAACTCTTAAAGCAGATGTATCTTTTCTCTGCCTGAAAAAAGATGGGCTGTTTTAATGAGTAGCAGAAAGCTACTGAGCCCAACAAGGTCCAAAGCACTTTCTTCTGAATCTTTTTCAAAGTTTGTATACCCTTATTAACTATATTTAACTAATTTAATTTGATCTACATTACATTGCATTAAAGTTAATTTTTGTTTTCCTCCTTTGGTTTTTCTAGTTCTATTTTCTTACATATCAATATAAAAAAGTGGAAACCATGCCAATGTAACTGAAAGTCACATCAATGTAAGAGAAGAGTGCTTGACTATGGATCCTATAAATAAAAGAAAAATTTAAAAACTAACTAAAACACTTTAAAATTTAATGAGCGGGAGTCACAGTTAGGCTCTTGACATAGATTTAATGCAGTTAAGGAAAAGAGGTCATAAATGCTTACCTCTTGTCCACAATAAATCTCTCATCTATGGGATGAAGAAGAAATAGTACAATCTAAAATATAAATGTTCTTTAAGGCAATTATATCTTGTGCTAAATTATGATAGGTTCCCCCCCCTCCCCATTTGCATTGCTTTTCTCTCTTTCAATAACATTTCACATAATAACCTGGCTGCCTCATTCATTTCTTATGTAATAATCCTAAACAGATCCAATATCTCATTGATGACCTCAGCTCTAATTCAAACTCTTTCAGTAAAATTCCCCATCGACCACATGTATCTACAGGGAACACAAGGAGGCAAAAGTGTAATGATACCAGCATACAAATGATACGACTTATGTACTTGCATCCAGTGTCATCCCAGCATTACATAATTGTACTATTTGTATAATGACATTGAGATGCATGTGTCATCATTTTGAAGTCATTGTGTTTCATCATGGACTCTGCTACTACCACCACTAAGTATGTATATTCCAACATCATTCCAGGTGGGTCTAAAGGTGTTTCTTCTAGCTGACCATGAATAAAAGTACATAGTTGGGTTTTCTCTTCAAGACAATGGAAGGACTGTTTGGAAAGCTACCTTAGAATTATGAAGTTGTTAATTCCTTCCACTCTCTTCCACACCCTCTAATTCTCATTTCACTCATTATTTTTGAGTGTCCCCAAGAGTCCAAGGCAGGTTTGAGGAGCTTAGCAAATTGCAAAGAGTGGGAATCAGCTCTAACTTCATTTATGTATGCATGCATTCATAGACACTCACTCTCTCTCTCTCTCTCCCCCCCCCCCCCCTTTCTCTCTCTCTCTCTCTCTCACACACACATACACACATTCTTCCCTGTACAATTCTGAATATCTTATTTCAGGGGTCAGGGTGGGGGAGAACTATATTTATTTTGATTCCTGTTAAAATGTATACCTTGTGAAATTTAGCACAAAGGACAGTGATGGAAAATCTGCACAATGGAGACATGTGTTATTGTTATTGCAAAATTTTGTTTAATTTTTATATTAATTTTTATTTTTTTTATTTTTATTTATCTATATATCAAATTTGTCACTACCCATCTGGTTAAAAAGCAACTCTGGGTAGTTTACAGAAAGGATAAAATCAATTAAAATACAATATAAAAGAAGTCTTAAATAATAAATAGATTCCAAGAATTGGTGGAATTGGCGAGTAACTCAGGGAAGGGTCATCAGGGCGCCAGCCACCCCCAGCTCCCATCGCCCCACACAAGCTGGCAGGGCCAGGTCTTTAGCCCTTTTCAGAGAGCTGGGAGGGTAGGGGCCCGCTGCAACTCTGGGGGGAGAATCTTCCAAAGGGCGGAGGCAACAGCAGAGAAGGCTGTCTTCCTGGACCCCACCAGCTGACATTCTCTTGCTGACAGGGTCTGCAACATGCCCTATCTGCCTGAGAACAGCAGCACTCCTTAGTTGACTTATTTTGCTAATGTTGGAATAAGCCAACGAATAAAAGCATGAGCTATAGGTAGTTTTATATGAAAACTAATACATTTTCTAGGAGCATTAATTATAATTACATATCTCATCCTTTGCACCTTGATAATGAATTTTATCCAATACAAAATATCTTGCAAGAAAGGGGCTTGGTGTCTTTCTTGTTTGCTTCTTAAACTTGTATACCACTAATTTCAGTGAATTGACTCATGGTGGTTTACAGCAAAATATAAACATCCACA